CCCTTTCAATCCAAATTCGTTGGCTATATATATCTGGCCTTTTCCTCAGAATTTTTTCACTCCAAAAAAAAAGCTTCTGCTTCTCCTTTCTTTCTGCATCATTACTTTTAAACAAAGTAAGTTTTGTTCTTCGCGTGGTTTGCACCATTATTTTGAGTTCGCTGATAACTTAGTGGTTTGAAGTGCCGCTACCGCTAAGTTGGAACTTCCGTTCTATCCTGGGAAGAATTTATCCGTCAACCTTGGGCAACAGTGAGGGGATAAGATTCTTTAAGGACACACAAGAAATTTGTGGGCTCGGAATATAAATCTGTTTATTTCTGTTCTTTTTATTTTCTGGTTTCGTCACTTTTCAAGTTTTTACTAACAATTCCTTCTTTCACAGACTTTCTTATTTTATGAACAACCAAGTTAAAAAGCTATGTTCTTCACTAACAAAGAATCAAATTTTTAGATTTTTTTAAAAGAACCAAGTAGTCTTCTACAGAGGAAATAGTTGAAATGATCAAAATCATCGTTCTTTCAGTTGTTGCTTCTTAGAGTTCTTACTTGAGTACTTTTGCTACAAACATCACAAGTTCTCCATCAAATAGTGCATCTAAACCGTTAGTAGTAAAATTATTGATGTAGAAAGTTCCAAATAAGTATAAATGACTTTAATGTTAAATTATTTGGCTAAGTTTATGTAATTCTGCAAGTTCTTCAAGGAAAAGATGTATTGTATTAGTGCATCTGCTCAACTACAAGTAAATTGTCTAAAATATTCTGGCGAACCCTTTTATTCTAAAACTTCATTGACAAAAACATTAATATTTTCAAAAGTAGAATTATTATTATACTGTGAGGTTTCAAAGTATAAACTTTAGTGTTACATATATCAAACACAACAGGAAACCAAAAGGACAATATGGAATCGAATAAGTATAAGTCGAAAAATAGATATAACTTTTTTGCAATACTGGTAGAAATATTTCTAAATAAGTGCTACACAGGAAGTAAAAGGACAAAACGTCGTTGGTAGCTTTGAGTAATTCCAAACATTGAATGTTGGCATGTTTCCAGAAAATTAATTAAATTATATTATGAAAAATTACAGTAAGCAGATACGATCACTGCAAAAGGCCATTGAGCGAAGCAGAACATAGAGATCAAATCTCAGAAGTAGAACCAGAAGATAGATTGAGAAATAGGATGAAAGTGGGAATGAACCGGGAGAGAATTTCTTGTATTCTAACACAAATAGCAATACCTGTTTGAGTTACTCTCTAATAAAGTATTAGTAAAACTAATCAGATCAATAAAACATACTGGGATATTTAACAAAAAATTAAGAAATGCAATAGAGATAGAAAAAGAAGCTACCATATTGGAACTCAGTTAGTTTCATGGTACTTTTAAACCCATGTAATTACCTTGACAGAGTACAAGCGCAGCTGGTGGAAGACAACGTCACCAATGTTGCAAAAAGATGACCAAATAAGTCCACCTAAACCTTGGCCTTCATTTGAAAAGGGTAAAAATTCAACAAATATTTACAGCAAACCAACAAATAAGATTATAATCACAGCTAACAAACCTTGATTGTAAGAGAATTTAAGAAAATTATTTATTTCTCAGCAAACTTGAGATAAACACAATCCACTGGACATAACCTCTACCCCATCGTATGTTATCATCAGGCGCCTTGAAATTCTTTGACCTTTAGCTCGTCTCTGAAAATTTAACTTCGACAAACACTCAAAGATTATACGGTAGCTAAATCCAAAGGAAAAGTGACCAAAAAATGCAAAGCAAAAGGATAAACATAAAGCTGAAGTGGCGATTATTAGTAGAGATAGCTGCTAATTACTGTGAAATTCTTTTTGAAACACCAATGTCCTCGGTAAACAGAGATGTTGACAAAGAGTCGCCTGCCTCACCTGTTAACTTGCACTTCTAATATACTCCATCCGGTCCAAAATAAGTGATTTTTTAGATGTTTTTACACAGATTAAGAAATTCACCTTTTAGCATTAATTAGCAATAGAATTGACCATATTAACCTTTACTATCTCACATAAACACTCTTAACACATATTCCAACACTATTTACACTCTGTTTGGATCATTGTTCCCCATCGTTTTATAATGTACTGTATCGTATTGTACCGTATCATTTTATGAATATAATGTTTGAATAGATTATATTGTTTGTCATTGTTAAATAATATTTTGCTGTTTGGTTTGACTGTATCGTACTGTTCTGTAACTGATAAGTTTACTAAAATACCCTCAATTGTTTAAATATTGAATTTATCAAAAATTATGCATAAAATAATTTTTTAAAAATAAAACAGAAGAAGACAAAATACCTTAAGAAAGCAGAATAGAAGAAGGCAAAACAAAGGAGCACAACTAATTAGAATTGAGCTAAAAGCAAATTAAGAGAAAAAATAAAATAGAAGGCGCCAAAACACCTTTAACGTTGGCGGCAGAAGTACTGAAAAAAAATAACTTTATAAGTTGGAGATTTGGAGTTAAAATAGAAAAAAAGTAAGGGATTTTTTCCTAATATACCATGTATGAAACCTTATTAACCTAAATGTGCATAGTTTGTTAATTACCTGCCCAGTCCATGTTTTACCTACAAATTTTGTACCATTCGACTATTAAGCATTAAAAGGCAGAATATTCCCTAAAAAGGGGGCTAAAATTAAGGAGAGAATCTTGGTGTTAATTTATTCTACATTAAATTCAAATTTTAAAAAGGGAAAGGAGATTTCTCATCTGCGTATTTTTCTCTAAAACTACAATTCAAATTCTAGAAAAAAAAAAAAGAACGAACAATTCAAATTTTCGAGTTTCAACAACTCAAAGTTGAAAAAAATCTGTTCTTCCATATATTTTGTCACCATTGATAGCCATTAAAAGGCTTGAAAGCTTTGAATTCAAATTTGGGTTTTCAAAAATTATTATTTGTTTGGGTTGAGTGTTGTTGTAAATAATTCGGAATATGTTTAGGAATTTATATCTCAATTTTGAGGGGTTTTGGTGAAGATTAGACTTCGTTTTGACTGAATTTCACATTGAAACTCGTCGAAGAAGAAGAAGAAGACATATTTTCAGAAATTGTAGATGAGTTATAGATAAATTGTAGAATTGTAGATAAATTGTAGATTGGGAAGACTAAAACTTCTACAAGTCTTCTACAATTATGTCGAAAATGCCAATTATGCTACAATTAAAATGGAAGTTGGGATATTAAAATTCAATGTATTCAGTTTGTAGATATCTTGTAGATAAAATTTCTACAAATAAACTACAAATCAGTTTAAGTCTTGTATAAAGTTGTATTATTTTTAAGAGTATATAAAAAATTACTACATTTATACTACAATTAAACTACAATCTTGTGTCAAAAAAATGTTGACAACAAAATTTGCTCTTCATCTACAAAATTTCTATACAAAAGCTACAAATAAACTACAATTACACCCGCACTGTCAACTTTATTGTCTTCCACGAGAAAATCATTTCCTTAATTTGATGACCCACGTGTGGAGTGTTATAAGTTGACAAGGACGTTGAGTGTTGATGAGATAGCTTTGATAGAGAAAAGATAATTATATTACCATCACATAATCATTGAAAGTACCTGTATCTTATAAGAGATGAACATCATTGATCACTTCAATTTGATAGAAGAACAAAAAATGTGCAGTCCACATTCTTTTTCCAACTTATGCCGAATCTAAGATATGCAGTAGTACTATGTTTTCCCGTAGTAAAAGTCCACTGGGATTAAGGACTGAGACTCACTTTGACATGACAAAAAGGATTTGGTGATATCAATTGAAATTGATGTTTACTCGCATTTTTTGCTTAAGCGAATTTGAAGAAAGGTATCATATGTCAAGGTTTTTTGTAGACATTAGCAAGACGTTTAGCGATTCCACATAATCACTCCATTGCCAATCTTAGTGAATGATGTACTCGGGTAAATCGTGGGGGTGGGAGGAGAGAGAGGCGGATAAACGAAATAAAGTGAATATACGCTCCTAAAATCACGCCTAGAATAAATGAAGCAATAATTATACCCTTAATTTGAATTATGGTATATAAATGGTAATTTGGTATGCTTAAATGTAATTAACACAATTCTTAAACAATGAAGGTAATAAGGTTTAGTATTGTCACGACCCAAATTAGGACCGTGATCGGCGCTCAGGAGCTAGTGCTCCCAAGTAAGCTTTATCGGAAATTTTTTAGAAAATCGGACAGAGTTTCCCCTGTTTTTGAACCATCCCAAAAATTTTCCTGTCTCAAATCAGTAACCCAACATCCTAATAGCAATTCAAATGACAAGGACTTTATCAATTAACCAAAAAAATATATATATCTACCTTCAACAGTCTACCCACTAACAACTAGACATACTACTTTATCTCCAATTTTTTTTTATTATAAGAATGAGCGTTACTCAATATAAGTCTATAATAACAAAGACTACTTAATACACTAAAACAATGACCATGGAACGACTCTAAGATTTCAAAGAAAAGACCATAACAATTGATAAAGTTTCCGCCCACGCGAACAAGTGCGAGGCTCACCAAGAATTCTCAACCTGTGCGCTCTAATTAACGAAATCCTCGCTCGTGTCAACTGCTGTCGCTGAAAAAAATAATTAGCGGGGAATGAGTCGCTAGCTCAGTGAGTAATAACACTTAACCACAACCGTTTTTATTGGGGACAAGTCAGAAAACATGCTTGTATATTAGTCACAAAATAAAATGCCTTTTTTTTTAAAACGGTAATAATAATCAGTCTCATCATGTGTTTCCTGTAACAAAATCAATTTAACAATTCAGTAATAAACTCGGTAAATACTGTGTCATAGCAAATCTTTATATTTGGGAGGTTTCCAGAAAAGGATCATGTAATCTGTAGCATTGTGTAGACCCCTTCGTAAAAGGAGTCAAATATAACGGTAGGTCCCTACTCGAGGGAAAACTGTAACTGTATGCTAGTTCTTCCTTCCCACTAGCGAGGGCTATAACTGTAATCGGTAATCGGTAATCTGTAAATATAAGGTGCACCAGGTCTAACGAACCCGCCGTTAGCTACGGGATCCTTCAAAGTCTCCTCCCATTTATACTATTTCTTGTAAATAGTAAATACTCGTACAAAAGCATTTTTAAAATAATAAAGGGCATATCATTCCTTATCAAATCTTGTAATTTTATTTCGGTAACAGTAATTATGTCTCAAGTAACGGTAAAACATATCTAGTAACAGTGAAAATATTTCAAATAACTGTAACATCTCAAGTAACGGTAAAATATATCTAGTAACGGTAAAAATATTTAGATTAACTGGTAAACATCTCAAGTAAACTGTTCGGTATCATATCAAGTAACATGCAATTTCAAAGCATCGGTAATACATTTATTTTTTAAAATCATATATAAACCATGCAGGTTATGAAAACACAAATTGTGTTAAGATTACTACTCATCGTACTCGTACCGAAATACCAAATGCTTCAACTCGAGCAATTCGTACAAATTCCTCCTATCAATCTATAATTACATAATATCAATCTCATGTTAATTTCCTTATTTAGGCTAATTCATAGCTATTTTAGAAAACCCAATCATCGGGGTTCATGTTTGAATCTTAATTTGTGAATTTATATTTAACCCATATGAGTAATTACCAATTTATCAACTCCAACCTATTCATATAATTTATTACTCCAAATTCCATAAAGTTCTATTGGTTCTTTAGGAAAAAAATTCTCAATTATGTGAGTGAACTAGTATAATTTCTATTACTCTGTAGAATCTTCCAATCAAGAGAATCGAATTTAAAATCTACCCGAAGAAAAAGTTCAAGTAATACCCGTAAGAGACAATTTGTGCTTAAGATTCCTCAGCAATTATAGCTATGACTCCAATACACTGCACCCACTTCTTCCTCCCTCTTTTCTCTTTTTCTTCTTTCTTTCTCAGCTCTGTTTTTTTTTTCTTTTCGTTTTTTTTCCCGCTGTTCGAAGCCTTCTGCTTCGTTCAAGTTAACAAAGCTTTCAGCTTTGTTTGTTAACCCTTTTTAAGCCCTTTATTGGCAGGCAAGGGTAATGGGCCCTTTCGGCCATTTTGTTTTTGGGCTTTTCTTATATTTTTTTTTGTTCTTACTTTTTTTTTTTTAAATAGATGGTTGCTGCTTATTATTATTACTAGTATTCGTACCCGCGCGTTGCACGGAAAATATTAAATCTAATTTTGATAAGAAAATATTATTTATAAAATGCGCTAGACACAAAGGAACAAAATAAGGTATGAGAAATGCCGAAGCTTCTTAAGGAATTATCTTCATTGCATTCTTACTTTGGTTCATCATAAAGGTAAAAGGCTCTGATAAGAAAAACGAATACCTATAATTGTACGCTAGTCATGAATGTTAGCAGAATTATCTTCATTGCATTCCCTCCATTTCTTTCAAACTTTGGTTACTCCCTTTCTAACTTTGGTTGAAAAACAGAATTATTTTTTGGTCTGCAATTGACTCAATAATACATAAGGCAACTCATGCTTTTATATACCACTCTTTCAACCTAAATATTCAATAATTATAGAAATAGTTTGCTCTCCTTCATTGTTCTGTAATCCAAAAAGAAAAGCATAGCGTTCATATATTCACTAAAAAACTTTCCTTAGGAGCTCAACAAAGGAATAATCAGCAGAAGCAGCTTGGACTACAGACAGAAAGGGTGACGACAACATTCTTGAGGAACCGTCATCCGTTCCTACATTCTTCAACTATTAGATTGGATTGAAAGCTACTTCGCATGTCTTTCGGTCTTGACCTGGAACTGAAGACAAACTTCTTTGTAGAAGTGAAATATTTCGTTTATAAACCTATTGCAGCAAGACTAAGTAAAATAATAAGAAAAAAAAGAACTGTGAGGCGCTTACATTCCCTCTGCCATTAAGTCTTTTCACCCATGATATGACACTAACAGTACGAACAATAAAGTAAGGAGGCCTCATTAATGATAAATCGCGGAATTAATCATACTTTGTTGTCAAAGTAACAAAGGGCACAATCAAATAATGAAATATCAAAAAATATCTAGCACCTAGCAGTAAGCTATTGAAAACCAGCAACATTAAGAAATTTATCATATTGAGTATGAGGATAAGCATATTAGCTTTTTTATTTACCAAATTTATCTTGTCGAGTGGATCTCCAACAACATTAGGAGATAAATAATCCTTCGACTTCGATGGTAATATGGAGAACTTTATTTTATCTCTTGGAATTTTTACTTGAAGAAACAAAAGGGCTCATCATATTAGTATAATTTATCATAAGAAAATATTACTTAAAAAATACGATAGAAATAAAGGAGCATGAAAGAATTCTGATTTTGTTGTATTCATTGGCTCGTTATATATGTTGAAGTATTTTTTCTCTTCATAATAATTATATATATAATCGACACTCATTGTACGTTTCAAACAAACACAAAATAATTCAACTCAACGGTAGACTAAAACTTGCTTCAAATCACTTTTAATAAAATAGAAGATCACAGTAGTAACAAACTAATTTTGAAACCAATATCTTTTGAATTCCAGAAAATTAGTTAACACAAAGTATTGTGTTGAAATTAATTAATAGAACCAAGTGTTAACTCAATCCAAGCATGTAATGAAGATAATTTTCAAAAGAAGCAGCACGGCAGTTGCGTTCCGGGATTCCAACAATGGAAGAAACTTCCTAGCAAGCACATAATTTCAATTTCAATTCTTACTTAGCAACTTGGAGAGAGATAGTGATAACTTTCAAAAACTGATTTATCCTCTTAAACCAAAGGAGAAAGGCACATAACACATGCTGATCATTTCACAAAATAACTCAAATAGCACAAACGACATAGAACTATAAATTTAAACACACCTCATGTATTGACATGAAGTAAACAGGGGAGGAAAATCAATTCTTTCTATCACTTTTAAATCCATCGTTTCAAACAAACACAAAATAATTTATCAGCTGCAGTTTAATTTTTTTTACCATATAAGAAAGTAGATTAAAAACGTGATGTAATAATACTGGAGACATGTCTTGACATAACAGCTTCTAGCATCATTGATGGAGTACTATATAAGAGAAAAAACCTAAATAATAATGCAGCATAAATGGTGTTCCAAAGTAGAGCAACCAAACAAAAGGTAAGCAACATACCCAAGAAAGTTGTAAATGCGCATAACCAGCATATGCACCATATACATATAGCGAAGGATCCTGGGTGGCTCCATACGCGTAGGCATCATAACCTTGCCCATAGGCATAATAAGCGTTCCATTGACTCGGATCAGCAGGCTGACTCCAAACACTAACGTCCTGCAAGATAGCACCATATTGAGCAAATGCTAAACAATTAATAACTCGTGGAATATAAGCAATTCAGATCTATAGTTGATACCAGCATGCTGAATAACAGTTTACATCTTGCATATACAGACATCAAATAAATGTCGATAATGAATAGATCCATATATAGCACAGAAGATTTTATTATGTTTGTGGTAAATATTGACCTATCTTGAATAGACAACTTTTTCAGAGCCTGATACGAATTTGTTTTAATCACTGGCTACAGTTAACCCGATGGTCATTCCTTCAAACTCTTCTGACTTTAAACGGCTTATTAATGAAGAATCTTACCAATATTAAATAATTTTATGACATGGATAACCTCTTCATGACACTTTCATAAGATCCTAAAGACTGCACTTTGTGGCTAAAAATAAAAATCTACAGGATTATTTTCACATGCTTAACTGTGGGACTCCTGCAACAATTTTAAGACATGAATAACTTCTTTGTGACATCTTCTTAAGATCTTAAAGAATAAAGTGTGTGGCTAACAATAAAAATCTAGAAGGATAATCTTCACCTGCTTAGATGTCAGACTCCTACCCTATGAAACACGAACAACTTGTTGACCAACCACAGCACCCTATATCCGCTGGATTGCTTCTTCAGCAGATGACCTGCATAGTGAATATTAAGGGACAAAACTTGAAAGCAGAGTAAGCCGACAACAAAGTAGTTCATGCGATATAAGCCGAGTTCCTGTATCTTGGTCCGAAAAAACTTAATTACATACTTCCCAATCGAGGCTTGGATACGATCACCCTAAAAAAAATAGTTTCATTATTAAGATGTATCATATTGCTAATAAATTGCATATATGTAGAAACAGAAACTTAAATCGCACATAATCGTTTCATATGTGAGTCAAGTTTCATTATGTACGTCCTCACCATCTTAATAACAAACTTGCGGATATTATTTCAAATTATTGTTGTGTTATTTTAGAAATGTCAAATGTCCCAGAATAGAAGATGTTGCACAAAAATTGGGCAGAGGACGCTATATTATTTGTCTATGATTGATATCCTTAATAATATCCATTTCCCCCCGACAAAGTATTAACTGCTAGTTGGTATATATTGTAACAGAAGAGAAAATCCTCGTCCAAGATCTGGTGAAGTTAGCCAGTGAAATAGAAGATGCTGAAGAGGAAACAACAGAAGAGGAAAATACTCAAAAGTAAAACCAATACAACAGTAATAGAGTACTGTTACTGAACTTTGCTCTAAAAGATCTCATTGATTTGTTTCTTAATAGTGCACATATTGAAAGCAAGCCTTGCAAACAAAAAATAAAAAGGGGACAAAAAAAGAAAAAATAAATAATTTAACTTTCATGTATATTCAGCATATAAAAGTTAAACTTATCGGAATAACCTGAATAATAAGAAGGGAAGGTGCATGCAAGTCATTGCGCACGTCGGCGAAGAATTTTCTGCAATCTTGATTTATACAATTCGGCATCGTCAAAATTCCGAGTGTCACTCTCTCCTTGATAGAACTATAGTAATCACGTTGAAGATGTTACCTTAGCATCTTGTAAAATCAACTCAATGGAATATGGTTTTCCAGGATTGAAACGATCCGGCAATTCCCACATTCGAACGACTCTAACTTTGAGATTCCATTGCATCGAATTGCTTGATATTTGACTGATTTCATGAACTGTTGTCACCATATTTGCAAATTTATGTTAACTGAGCAGAGAAAAATAAAACAGAAGACAGAGCATATATTTGAAAAAATTTCCGAGTAGAAGCCAGTTTATAATTACGTGGTTGGTGTTGATGCCCACGGTTGGTTTGGCGTGGAGGATCGTGGAGCAGGTTTTATCGATATTCCTATAAAATAGCGGATATGGGAAGAAACATGGGAGTATAAAAAAGGTGGGAGTCATGGTTTTAGTAGGAAAACAAAATCGTGGGTCTCTCTTTTTAAACGTGGGGTTGTACAAATTCGTGGGTCTCTCTTTTTAAATGTGTGTTTTTATTAGAAATCAATTTTTTTTCCTTTTTTAATCTCAAAGAATGTAAAAACAGAATTTATTTCATTTTTTAATCTACAAATTCGTGTGTCTCTCTTTTTGAACGTGTGTTTTTATTAGAAACTGATTTTTTTCCTTTTTTAATCTCAAAGAATGTAAAAACTGTTTTTTTTTATTTTTTAATCTCCAAGAATGTTGGAGTATTGTCTGGAAAAATAACACGTGTCCTATTTTTCTTGGAACACTTGTCACAATATCGTCGTTCTGCCTCTCCTTTTCTATATTAATAGATTATTATTATTATTATTATTATTATTATTATTATTATTATTATTATTATTATTATTATTATTATTATTATTATTATTATTATTATTATCAATATACCCTTATTAAAAATATAGGATATTACAAGTATATGGTATAGGTAGGTAAAAATCCCAAAAGGTAATGGGTAAAATAGAATTGTGGAGTAATAAGTTAGGGCATAATTGGAAAGAAAAATAGGAAACGATCCCACCATACCAAATCGGTTGTTTTAAAAAAAGGAAACTTTTTATTGTTCCGGAACAATGGATTTAACAATACAATACAACCAATTTTAATGAAACAATCAAAACAAACATTGTTTTGGAATAACAATACAATACGATACAATGAGGAACAACCATCCAAACAAGTTGTTACTCCAAGGACAATGTAGGAAAAAAATAATTAATTCATTCTTGAAATCTGAAAAAATTACTTATTTTGGACCACAAGAAAAAAGCCAAAAAATCACTTATTTTGGACCAGAGGAAATTTAGTGGGTAGTTGACCGTGTATAGCCCCAACACAATGACGTAGTTTGTACAATATAATCTTTAGGGTACTTATTGATGCTCAATAATAAAACTTCAGCCAAGCAAAAACACTTATATTGTCAATATTAGCAGTAATGAATTGTGTTTAAACTCTGCTGTAAACAGCTACACTTCAATATTTGACAGATTTAGGTAAAATAAAAATTAACATGAACCCAACCCTACTATAATATGCATTAAAAAAATAAAATATTGATTAACAGACCAATATCAACAGACGCTAAAACAATTTTCAAACCAAAATAATCATAAAGATTGCAAATGAAACGCCGAAGAAGTTCTTACCTCAAAAGCTTGCTTTATTTACTAAATTTTTCGATGGCAACAAATGTAATAATACTCAAAAAACAAGGGCAAAATATAAAAGTTGAAGCTGGCATGTCGACAGAGACCCGTCAGCTTCACCTAGTGCACTCCCACTTTTAATATAGTAGAAAACAAATGTAATAATACTGAAAAAACAAGGGCAAAAATATAAAAGCTGAAGCTGGCATGTCGACGAAGTCCTATCAGCTTCACCTAGTGCCCTCCCGCTTCTAATATAGTAGAAATACATTAATTGCATTTGTTGGCTATTTAAGAGCGGATGGCTATTTAAGTTATTACTCATTATTTAACTCATGTCGATTGAGCCCATCAAGCCCAACTAAACTTTGAGATGGTTAATTTAGCCTAATCCCATTCAACACCCCCTAAGTAAAAGAGAAATTTACCCGAAATACAATGTTTCGAAGAGTTATTTATAAAAGTTACAACTATCTTAAAATAATTACACTATATACAATTTATACAACTTCTTATTATATACTATCATTTTTCTATTCCTTAAATATCTCATTTTAAAATGTGAAAATAGGGATTATGTTACAATTATGAGAATCCATGGAGTGAAAAATTTAGGACTTCACTTCCCTAGGCTTCGTTTAAGTTCACTGGAGGAGGATGAATATAAATTTATTCTTCAGCTCTCCATCTCCTTTATTCTAGAATATTAAATTTTCTTTCAAATGAATGATATTGCTTCTATTACCTTATTCATATATATGGTATATAAATACATATAATATATTTATATGTACTGTAGTTATAGTATAGTATATATTTATATATAGTTATATTATACTAATAATATATATTTGGTATATGAATATAATGAATAAATGTTATATATTGATGCTAATATA